TGCATTAATTTACATGGGTACATACAGTGCGATTTTTGTTTTCATTTTCTTGTAGTTGGGCTTGAGTTTGGTTTACGGGTCGCTAAACCAGTGGTAGACAAACTACAGTCTGAGTGCCAAATGCAGCCCAATGCCTGTTTTTCTATGTGTCATCAACTGAGAATAAGCTCAGTGTTTTTTAAATAGTTGAAAATCTAAACGAGTAGTTCATGACGTATGAAAACATATGAAATTCAACCTTCAGTGTCCCTCAATAGAATTTTATAAAATGATGCTCACAGTCTCACACCAGAGCCTTTACTTTTAACCACTGAGTTGCCACCTGTCATTCCCTCTAAATTCCCACACCCCTAGACCTTAACCACTCATCAGCCGCACTGGTTCGTTTACACATTGTCTTTTGTGCTATGACAGAACTGAACAAGAGGCTCTATGGCTGTCAGAGCCTAAAAGATTTACTATCTGGCTCTTTAGGAACAGGTCTGCTGGCTCCTGATACAGACACCAAAGCAGTAGTTTTCAAACTTGACATGCATCAGACTCACCAAAGAGGGCTTGTTAAAACAGACTGCTTGAGTCCCACACCAGAGTTTCTGAATCATTAGGTATGGAGTGGGGCCTGAGAATTTGCATTTCTAATAAGTTCCCAGGTGATGCTGTCCAAGGCTGTCCAGGGCCACAATTGGTCCAGTGAGGAAGAAATCCTATGCAATTTATTCATGGAATTGCCATCTGCCTGGCCTTAGAAATCTTGACCACAAAGTCCTCCTTTTTCCTCACCCCCTCCTCACACTTTCTATTGATCAACAAAGTCTGCAAATTAATAATAACGTGATGACTATACTCTCAAGCATTACCAGGTGCCACACGAAATGATAAACACTTTACATGGATTATTTCATTGAATCCTCACATTGACCCTGTGAGGTAGGTAATGTTACCAACATTTTACAGATGAGGAAACTGAGATGGAGAGGTTAAATCAGACATAGCCAATAAACGGTGGAACTGTGATAGTTGCTTGTAGGCTCACACCAGAGCCTCTACTCATAACTCCTGCATCTCCTCATTCCTGCAATACCTCCATACTATGGCACCTTACATCAACCATTCATTATCTCACCTGGACTAACAGCCTTCAAGCTGGCCTCCTGTCTTCAGTGCAAAGATACACTGAAGTCAGCTTTCAAAAACACAAATCTGATCATTCCGCACTTTGCTGGAACTCCTTCGATGTTTCACCTAGTCCGATAAATTAGTTGCCCCTCAGTATCTGAGGCGGATTAGTTCCAGGACCCTCTTCGGGATACCAAAATCCTCAAATGCACAAGTCTCTTATATAAAATGGCGTATATTTGCATATAACCTATGCTCACCCTCTAAATCATCTCTAGGTTACCTATGATACCTAACACCATGTAAATTGTTGCTGGGCATGCGGTAAATTCAAGTTTTGCTTCTTGGAATTTTCTGGAATTCTTTTCCTGAATATTTTTGATTCCCAGTTGGTTGAATCCACATTTGTGGAACCTTCAGATATGGAGGGTTGACTGTATTCGTTTCTTAACTGGGCCTTCAGACCTTGATAATGTGGTCTCAACACACCTTGCCTGCTTTATCCTCTTTACTCTCCACTATCCAAGCTAAACTCCATCCAACTTCTCCCATTTACTCCAATACATCTTTTTATCCCATGCCTTTGCAATGTTCTCACCTCTGTCTGAAATGTCCTCCTTTGGCCTCAACCTTTAAGACGCACCTCAGTTGTCACTTCCTCAGTTCTTTCCAGAGTATGTTCTATCTTCTCTGTGCTTGCAGACAACTTCATTCTCTTCTACGTTTCACTATTTTTTACACTCTATTTATATGACTATCATTCTCAACTAAGGTAAAGGTCATGGGTATATATTTTCTCTTATATATCTAAACAGCTGATTTACTCATTCAGTGAATGTTTATTAACTGCCACTTTGTGCCAGGTATGGTTCCAGGGGCTGAGGATACAGCAGTGAACAAGACACAAAGCTCACATTCTAATGGGAGAGGACAATAAACAATGAAAAGTACATGTTAGATGGTAATAAGTATATGAAAAAAAAATAAATCAGGAAAGGGGAGAGGGAATTTGGAGGAGTTTGTGGGTTACACAGGGTAGCCATGTATGAAAGTATGTCAATATCTTAAGGAAGAATGGCCCAGGTGGAGGGAACAGCAAACAAAAGGACCTGCGCAGACACACGCTGGGTGAGTATGGCAGGAGCGGAGTGAGTAAGGTGTAGAGTCATAAGAGCCAAACTCAGCAGAACCAGCAGGCCATATCCTATAGGCTGTACTGATGATTTTGTTTTTACTCCAAATAAGATGGAAGGTTGTGAGAGGGTTTTGGGTGGAGAAAGAGCATGATCTCTCTCACGTCTTTTATCAGGATCACTATGGCTACTGTGAACAGACTTACGTGGGGGAAGGCAAAGGTTGAAACTGAAGAGACTAATTAACAAGGTTACTGCAATAACAAAAAGTGAGATATGATTATGGCTCAGACCAAGGTGGAAGGTGTGGAGATGATTCTGGAGATATATATCTGTATCTATATATCTATATCTATATAGAAGGGCAATGGAACTGAAGAGTGATTGGGCATGGAGTGAGAGAGAAAGAGAAGAATGCTGTAGAAGAAGCAGGATTTGGGTGAGGGAAATTAAGGAGTGTGATTTTAGATGTAAGTCTGAAATGCCTATTAGACATCCAAGTGGATCTGTCTCTTAGGTGGTTGAATATATACGATTTTGGAATTATGAGTGGAAGAAGATATAAATTTAGGAGTTGCCAGTATAGAGATGGTATTCAAAGTCCTGACATTGAAAAAGATCACCATATCCTACATGCCTGCTGCCACATCCCGCTTCACCCCAATACTCCCCTTGCAGATCTGAGGCCATACGTTCTGGTAGAAGGCTGGGGCTCTCTTGGTGTCTTAACACATTAGCATCCATTTATTTAAAATTTCCAGCGCTTCATGCTTTGGGCCCACAAGGCAGAGATGGTTTTAATTAGAGGTTTTCACATTAGGCCAAAGAATGTTACTCATCTCCGTCTCTATATGGACTGGAAAAAAAAATCCCACCTGAACAGAAAAGAAGAAAACATCAACTGAAACTAAAAGTTTTTCCACTCAGAATTCTGTGAGGACTTGGTGGCTAAAGTGGCCTGGAAGTTCAGACAGACAGACAGACAGACATCCACAAGATGAACTCTTTCTGAGAAGACAAAGTGCTCAGCATAAGAGAATACCCTAAAGTATTCCTATTCCCTATTCCTAACCCCTTTCGAGATTTCCTTTGCTTCAGTCTTTCAAGAAACCCCAAGAAGATGCTACAATTGACTTAAGAAGGCTGGGGAGATGGCCATTGGGAAAGAACTCTTAGTAGTTGGCAATGCTTCATTCCAGGGAGGTGGTGGCAACAACTCCCTAGGCAGAAGACATCATGGATTTTCCTCCCTCAGGGAACCAGAGGTCCCCTCCGTTTCTGGTCAGGATCCCTTAGAGACAAAGAACTTCATTCTCTCCCATAACAGTTTGGGGCTGCAGGGGAGGGCAGGGGGTGGAGGGGTTAGAAGTCTATGCCCAGGAAACACCCACAGGCTCAAACAGGAGCCTGTATCCTGACTCTGGTCCAGGAGGAGTGCGGGGCCGCGGCGGCCGCGGGTCCCCTCTGGCGAGGGCCAGGCCAGTTGCCAAGGTGCCCAGGAAAGGGGCCGCCCAGAGCAGGCTGGGAACGTGGAGCGCCCGGGACACTTCCACAGAGGGCGCATCTGCCTGCCGAAACCCCTTTC